TGAGTGTTCCTGTGAGGAGACGGTTCATGTGTCCAAATATCCAGCTTAGTGTGGTGGACAAGCAGGCTTTTCCTAAAAGTAGCTGTTCAAACATAGTATCGTACCAATGTTACCTGAGTTTTACAACAGGTAATAAAAGACAAATAAGAAATCAGATTTTATAATTTTTTTCTGTTGATTTATTTGAAAATATCCTGGATTTATTTGACTTATTTTTTGGTTTTTAGCAACAATGCATGAAGAAATTCATTTTATTTCTCAGTTCAGAAAGGAATTTCTCATTTGAAAATACTGAAAATTATAAATGTTCCAGGTTGAAAGCAAATTTTAGCTGAGAATAAAAGCTAACTTTTATCATTTAAATTTTCCAGGTTATTATCATAACGTTTTTAATTACTTCACTTTGTTTACTTTATGTTTGTGATAGTTACATTGACGCTTCAGATATACTTGTGACAACTTCCTGGTCCTGGCGTAAACATGAATCATGTTACCTTTTTGTTATGCAAACAGTTCTAACTGCAGTTCTCATTTTAGACAGCAGCTGCCCCTAAACGGGTAAATCTGCTGGGATTCAAAAGGTAGTAGAACAAACCAGTCTATAGACATTGTTTGAGAGTGACTTTGAAGTGTTTTTTTTTTATTTGTGCATAACAGGTTCCTGCTCGTTTAATTCAAACGTACATTAAGTATTGAAAACTTAACCATTCAGAATTTGTTATCAATCCACACTTTAGACCTAACTCTCTTTTTGGGTTAACTTTCTGTTGATCATTTTAATATATTTCTAATGAAATAGTTTTATTTCTCTTCTATTACATGTCACTCAAACCTCAAAACTGATTTATTTACCACAGTGTACATGTGTGCTCTATTATAGAGCAAGAGGGTCCTAAAAATGTCAGCCTGTAAAATCTCTAAATAACACGCAAAAAACTGGAGACCCCTAAAAATATCCACTCTATTTATTCACATTGGAACAAGAGAAATGAGTAAGTCTGTTTTTTCTTGAAATAAATGCATTTTCCTTTGATTTGAGTAGGTAAGAGGAAAATTTTCCCAATGGGAACAGCTGATTTAGGATTAAAATATTAAAGGAAAAGTCTGGTTAGCAAGGAATAACCAATGAATCATTATTTATAACTAAAACTAATTGTTTGCGGTGATTTAATGAATTTAGTGTTAATCAGTAAAAACAATGAAAACAGTAATTTTGTCCTGTTTGCCAATGTGGCAATAAGAATAATTGTCTTGATGCCAAAAAATAGCCAACAGATTTTGCTATAATACAATAACTTTTCTTCGCAATCACAGAGTCTGGGAGCGGCCATTTTTTGCCCAAATATAGTAACACCTCACTTCTGACATCTTCCGGAAGAGGCGTCACGGTGCGGTAAGCCTAGCGCCATTCTTCCCGCTTTACGAGCAAAATCAATGGGAGCTACTAGAAACATCTGCAATCAACAACATTTAAGATTTCCAGAGGGCTTGACTATTGAAATTCACCAGAGCTACAGTTAAACTGACAATGTCCACGTGCATGTTAGTTGGATGTTGTTATACATCGGGTAAAAGTGAAGAAAAAAAAAGGTTATCTCTCCTTTCCGATTCATGATTCTCCACGGACTGGTTCGTCATTGGATTGCCAACTTGAAGAGGGATGATTTGCTATCGAACTTCTGGCCAGAGAAAAAACTGGAGCCATATGGAGCCAACATTTCAAAGAAGAATGTTTTCAAGATGACTTGGATAATAGCACGTTGTGACAAACACCAGATACAGCACTGGGACTTGCTCAATAGCCGATACCGCACCGTGACATCACAAACCAGTAGGTGGCAGTAGTGTTCTTATACAAACATGATTGTCTCCAGTAAAGCACATTCAAATGAAACTACTCCTAATAAAAAAACACGTATAATTTATTGAGCAGTATGTAATGACATATTTAATATTTCATATTTAATTCATATTTAAAGTACTTTCAGAAGTTTGAATTCTGAATATGACTGGACTTTTCCTTTTAAAAAAAAAAGCTATCCTATTATCTTATATTGAGTTTCTTACTTACTTTTAGTATCATTTTTGCAGTGTAAACATCCAAAGTAATTCTTTTCATTTTAGAATATATTTGTATATATTTAAATTGACATTAAATCATTTATTTCATAACTTGAAATGTCTTAACTACTTTAAAGGATATCTAATACATTTACAATCCAAAACAGTTGTTAGTATGGAGTCAGAATGCTGCCAAAAGTGCACAACGGTAATAAATATTCTTCTGAGTAGTTTAATTTAAAATACACAAAACCACTCTGAGAAGGCAAACTGCCTGCGATTGGTTACTTTTAGTGAATAAATGCATCACAGAGCGCAGCAGTGCGAGCTCTGTGTTCTGGTTGAAAGGCTCAATGCTGAGGAGTTATGGACTTTTCTTTAAACTTTAGTCACACTGATATGCTCATTTCATGTTAGGGTCTTCACTTCAAGTCCTGGAGGTCCCTCCACTTCAGAAACACCTGAATCTAACGATAAGGGCAATAAATAATCAATAATCTCTGGGGAACCTTGTGTGCATACTGAGGAGGTATTTCTGCGATTTTAGTCAGGCATTAAAACAGAGAAGAATCTAAAAGAAGCAGGACACTGGACCACGAGGACATCTTTATCAGCTGTAGAAAACTGATTTCACAGAACCTTACATTAAATTTTTTTTTTAAACCTATCAGATCAGGATCAGCAAACTTTTAAAAATTAAAATTTTTAAAGCTGACTAATAGTATTTATTACATAAATGATGAAGAACCATATATATATATATATATATATATGTATATATATATATGAGACAGCAGACTGCATGTGTTTGAGCTTGTTATTTTGCCTTCTGCAATTCCCAGCTCGGCTCAACAGGAAGGGTTTATTTTAGAGCTTATAACAGATGTCCAATTATTATTTGCAAAAGGTGCTCATGGATGTAAAAGCTGTTTTTCTCTGTAAAGGTAATTAGAAATGGAGTTGGTCACAATTAAGAAAGGGGGGCAGACACATGTTTCTGTGTTGAAATGAAACTCAGTGTCTGTAGTGTTGTGCTGCAGAAAGCTCTCCACAGTTGATTTTTCCACAGAGGAAAAGCTTTCCTCTTTAACAGGAGACAAGAGCGTCTCTTTTCCTGTGAGCAGCTCCACTACACAGCTTAAAAGAGCCGAGAGAAGAATCCACTGAATCATCCATGACGGGAAACATTTCGGTTTCTAGGTCTTCATCAGGTTTTCCAACAACAGCTGTTATTTTTTTATATATACATATAACCTTGAATAAGTAAAGGCTTCCTGAAAATGTGTTTTATAATTTTTCCGTCATGTGGCAAGACAAGGAAATTAGCCCAACACAGTACTCACTGTAAATGTAATGTAAAATGTGAATGTAGGAGATTCATGTGGTCTTATGTCACTCGCAAATATCTCAAATCATTAGCAAAATAAAAACAAAGAAAATTTTACTGCTTAAAATTGCTTACACATGACTGGATTGTTGAAAAGAAAAAAAAAGAGCTTAAAGTACAAAAAATATTTTTTTGGGATATTTTTCATAATTTGCTCGAATTTTAGCCAATTCCTTCAAACCAAACTTATTATTTGTATTTTTGGTAAATACATATAACATCTTAAGATTTCGCATTGAGATTGAATATTTTAAAGGTGAAACATGTTATCTTTTCTAATGTGCACCAACACCTGTACACAGCAACACACTGCTACTACTGTTACTTCTGTCATTATGGCCAAAGACTTTATTTGTTCAATTCAGCCAACAGGCCATGTCTCCAAAACTCAAGGTATTGAGTGCTGTAACCTGTCTTTGTTATATCTTATCAATAGAATATATTCTACTACTAATTGTCATCATCATCCATCCATACATCATCATCCATCCATCCATCATCATTCATCCATCCATCATCATCCATCCATCCATCATCATTCATCCATCCATCCACCTTCCATCATCCATCCATCCATCATCATCTACCCATCCACCTTCCATCATCCATCCATCCATCCATTCATCCATCCATCCATCCATCCATCATCAATCACTCCATCCGTCATCCATCCATAATCCATCCATCCATCATCAATCCATGATCTATTCATCTAAACATCCATCCAACCATTCATCCATCATCTAGTCATTCAGCATTTATCTATCCATCTATCCATCAATCATCCTTCCTCCATCCATCCATCCATCCATCCATCCATCCATCATCCATGAATCCATCCATCATCCATCCATGAATCCATCCATCAATCAACCAATCCATCCATCCATCCATTCATCCATCCATCCATCACTGTATATTTCCAGTATCCATATTTCCAGTATCAGTTCATATTTACCGAGTAAAAAAAAGACATTATAACAACCACTCATATTGTTGTGTGATCAAATGCTGACGATTTTATTTTTTAAAGCTGCAGCTGCCAAATCAATGTGTAGCATAAGAGTCCCCCCCCCCCAACATGGCTATTTTTAATTCTGAATACCAGAGCAGCTCTAGAATCCATTTGTCGGTGCGATTTATAGCCTCATAAAGGCTATTTGCTGATGCGGACAAAAAGGCAGAGGCTCTTGTTGCCTCTCCCTTCCAACTCTACCCTTAATCAGAGACACAATTATAACCTGTAGGTAGGGCAGACGACCATTTACTCTGCTGCTTTCATGTTCAATAGTACACACACATTCAGGAGATAAGTTGGGATTTTTTTTTACTCATGTCTATGTCTTGTGTTATGAAGCTCCTTCAGTTTGAATGAGCTGAAAGGAGAAAATAGCAGATTCATTGCTGCTGGTGTGACTTATAGTAGTTTTCTTGTCTGTCACACTTTCTTTCACCCTAATTTTTATGTTACCAGGAGCAACATCAGACAGGATGTCTTAAAAAGGCATATCTGTTTGGCTGTATTTGCTCATGCAAATGTTTGGATTCTTACCTTTCACGTCCCCCAGCAGTTCGTTGGCGTTAAGGCCTTCAACGTGCTCCTTCCAGTCTTTGGAAAGCAGCCTCACCATGCAAGAGGGTTCTGGAAAACACAAATAGAAAACATTATCATTTCGTAGTAAGATTTCATACCATTTAGAAACTTAAATTAAAATGAAATAAAAAACCACATCGGAAAAAAAGCTTAAGAGAAGAACGTTAATAAGGAACACAGTAAATTGCATGAAAGAGAGGAAAGTCGGATCAACAGCTCAACAAATAAGTGTTTATTTTTTATTTTTGTGCGTCTGCAACTTGTTAAATTCCACAATATCCTCCAGCTTCTTCTCCAAAAACATGAAAAACAGCAGCAGCCATGCAGCTGACCGATATGACAATGTCTTCGTTATACAGACATGAGCTCTTTTTTGCAGCTATCTTCTTTTCTCACATTGTGTCTCGTAGCCTCGGGATCACAGACAGCGGAGACATGTGGTCGTACGTGGTCCTACGTGGTCATGAGATTCATAAGGTCCCATTTGTTCAATAGGAGTCCTGCGCTGAACTTCACTCAAACAATGGAAACTTTTTTGAGAGCCCAGCACAGACAGAGAGAGGCTCTGATTCGAACTTGCACAAGAAGCAGCATCTTTTTGTGTCTAAATGATATTATAAAAAAAGATATGCATTGTTAGGCTAAAATGAGAGAAGTAATTTTCATAAGTTTCATTATTTAATTTCTTGATTAAGTCAGATCCACAGAGAAGTTCTGTGTTTGTGGCGAGTACATTATCAATCCATCTTCTATCACTGTACCATGGCAGGGAGTCACCAATTCACTTACAGTCCTGTTTTTAGACTGTAGGAGGAAGCCAGAATACAGGGAGAGAACTCATGCATGCACCAGGAGAAAATACAAGCTTCATGAGGAGGAACTGGGACCCAGGACCCCATTTTTGAAACACAAAAGTGCAACAGACTGCACCACCTTGCAGCCTGCAAGTAAATCCTTTATTACAGCAGCAATGTTGACCAACACTGCATGAAAAGTGAGATTTTCGTCCCCGTAAACCCCCGTAAACTCCCGCAGATCTGCCTGATTTTCGTCAGTTTCCGACAATTTGCAACCCGTGCTTGTCCGCGTTTGTCGTGCCACAAATTGTCGGAAACGTACCGTGACGTATGTGGAGAGCGATCAGCTGTACTAATGGCCCTAATTAGCATATGAATACAGCAAACCCGCGCGGCTGGCCAAGTCTGGCTTGAATAACCTTCTCAGTATTGGCTGAAACCACTATTCTCAAACAAGTAAAATCGCTCGTGATTGGCAGCAAAACCACACGTGGCCACGCCAGGCTTTAATTTTCTTACTGAGTATTGGACGGAACCACTTCTTTTTAAACAAGTAAAGTCGCTCGTGATTGGTTGGCATATATATATATTTACATATGAATTTACATATATATATATTTATTCATATATATATATATATATATATATATATTTATTCATTCATATATTTATTCATTCATATATTTATTCATTCATATATTTATTCATTCATATATTTATTCATTCATATGGTGTGTATTTATGTTATCCTACACTACTACACAATTATTATGCTACCATCAAGGACATGAATGAATTTATACAGGAAATGAAGATTTGCCAGGAAGCTGTTTATGCAAAGAAAGAGCTTTATTGAAACACAACTATATACAACGCGTATCCAAACACATGCGTTTCTAAAAATTAAAACTCCGTGAACGGTCCGTTTGCTTCCTCAGGGTTGGAGGTAACTGGCAGCATTCCCTCCGAGGCAGGTCCGATGTGCAGACGCCTAGTGTGCGTGGCCCTGTACTTCGGCATCGCTTCTAACCGGGACTGCAGCTTAACACATAGTTCAGTGAGATCCGGCCTACGAAATGGCGGCGACCGTACAATCCATCCAGAGACACCGCCGAGGAAGGCGGACTTCCAGAGTTCCACTTCCTCATCTGCTAGCACACTCTGCCTCGCTTTCAGCAGCTGAAAAAAAAAAACAATGAATCAGCGCACTGCGTATGGACACAACACATCTATTAATGCACCTGAAAAATAGTCACCAAATAAAGTCTTACCCTCTTTCTTCTGGCCCGACTCCGAGCAGATAGCCTCCGCACGCAGCGTGTGGCTGGCTGCGTATATCTGAAGCTCCTGCGTACCGTCTGAAAATACGTCTTACAGGCAGCTGGAAAACAATTAAATGAGAGTGGTATAAATAAAAAATCAAACGCAAGTCACAGTAACAAGGAAGGAGAAAACATTAAAACAAGTCACTTACACACAATGTCGTCTTTATCAACATCGTGCAAATCTGGACTTGCCGAGATGGGAGGTCTGTGAAAACAAAATGTAAAGCTATGATCGGTATCTATCCGTATCCATTGCCTTTTACCGCAGAATGAAAGCATATTCTTTAAATCTTACCCTTGCTCCGGTTCATAGCGCCTGCAATTAGTCTCCGAGTTGTGAAGACGGCGTACTGCTTCCTGTAAATCACAAAAAATACACTTTAATAAAGCTTGTTCTAGCAAGGCTACTATTAGCTGCTATTAGCCGGTAGCTTAGGCTAGGCTGCTTTTAGCTTAGCAGGCAGTAATCGAACATATATTTACCGCTAGCATCTCTTCTTTGAGTTCGTCTTGTTCGATGCAGAGTCGCCATCGCGTCCAAGAGGAGTTTTACCCCGAAATCCAGAAGCTCCAGACCGCTGCACAAAGCAAAGCATACATCCTCCACTGTGGCTGCACACCGCCGTTCTGAGTTTCTTGGAGATCGTAGGGAGCATGCGCGAGATGAACCAGGGTGTCCGCGGATCAATAAAAATAATTAAAAAATCATTCTTTTTTTTTTTTTTTATCAAGGCCTTAATTGGCACTAAAATTATTTAAATATGTTTATCGAAGTATTTATAATTCTTTAATAAAAAATGCTTATAAAAACAATTTCGTCAGATATATTATATCGCTCCAGGCGGAGAAAAAGCTAGAGGATATATATATACGTATATATGTGTGTGTTTGTGTTTACATACATACAGGAGTCATGGAACTCTGCTTGCAGCTCCTTCATATTTCATGTACACTAATAACTTGTGTACATGGTTCTTGATGATGGCATTAAAATCATTTCAAATAGCATTAAAATAGCATTAAATTAGAGTCACTCATTCCTGTATGAACCCTGTGAGTGCTTAATTTAATATGACATATTAAAAAAATCCCACCATCATCCAGCATATGTTCAGTTTCTGCCCAAATATATATGTAGATTTTTGTAACGGGGATAAGGATAATTCAAAACTGCTTTTTTTTGAATGAACTTGTTCACTACTTCCAAACTCAGCATCTCTTTTCATTCCTGTAATAAGAAGTTTCTTTTGAATGGATTTGATTAAAGTTTAAGTCCCTCGGTATAAAATAAATATTTTGATGGAGATGAGAAATCTGCTTCCTCGTTGGTGAATAACCAATAGTTTGGATCCAATCATTTAAATAAACGGTGTTAGTTTTTTTATATATATATATATATATATATATATATATATATATATATATATATATATATATATATATATATATAAGAATTGTGCTATAATTTCTAGTCACCGATCTGTTGCTGCTATATTTTAATTTGACGAACCGGAATTTGTCGATGTTCTTTTTCCTGACCACAGTGTACCAATCTTCTCATGGCTACTTCCAACAGGATAATGCGCCATGTTATAAAGTAAATCATCTCAGACTCATTTCTTGAAACTTTTCCACTTAAGTAATTGTGAATTGAGCATATTGACAGACAACATTTTATTTTTTATCTTAAATGCAATTTTTGTTTTATAATTACTGCTCTAAATGTATTTCTCTGTCAGCTAAAGATCTGTTTTGGTCTCTATACTTTAATTAAATAAATCAATTCAAGCTAAAATGGAAGAGGCTATACTAAGCCTGATCTCTTTGTATCAGAGAATTTCTTACCCAGAAAGATGTCACTTGGGGTAAAAACCCCCCTGCAACCCTGGTTTGCATTTGTATAGCTCACAGCATGTTCATTTACATGTTAAAGCCTCCCCTAGAATTCCATGGGGGGGAGGCATGGGGGGAACACTGCCTAAGAGAGTCCACGTAAATTTCTGACAATTTACGGGAGTTTTCGGCGAAGCCTGCAAATTGTCGTAAACTGTGTGTGTGCACTTATGGCAAAATTCTGACTTCACAATCTTGACTTAAACTAGAAAAAAATAGTTAATCAGATTATATTTTATTTAATGATTTAAGACTAAAGGAGGCAGATAAGCAATGCATGACACATTTTGCATTAAAGGAAAAAGTTGAGTGAGATCTAAAAACTTTCAGTAAACATTTGTGAAGTAAAGAGTGTATTTCAGAGTGTGTGGAAAAGCTAAATACAAAGAAAAAAATCAGGTGTTATTATGTGCTTCTATCAATACGTTATGAAATGTTTTCCAGGGGTGTGAATACTATTCCAAGGCACGGTAGGATAAAAGCTTCCCACCCCTGTAGAGCTGCCTGACACACTCCTTCAGTTCAGGAGTTTGTGTGCAAACAGCGGTTTTCATGCCAGCGTGCGACACCACAGATGGTGTCACAGCCACGCAGGGCTCTGTGCCAAAGCCTAACCCGTGGATGTCAAAGATACACACACACGCACACACACACACTAGGAAAAAAAAGAGACATTCTTGGGCTCTGCGTGGAAAACATGCCCCTGAGGGCTTGCTTGATTTAGAATGGTTAACTTAGACAATAGCTCATTTGTGGCGGCTACATCCTGACAAAAGGCGCTATAGGCACTCATATCGGCACATGGTTCATTGTGAGCGGCTTAATGTTGAGTTTGTACGTTCGGGCCGACTGTGAGGTCATGGGATGCCTTCCTCCAGCGAGCACAACTTCCTCGTTGAGCTCATTAAAGCCCAACATGTTTACAGTGGAATTGTGATTGCTGTAAATAAGCTAATGCAGGGGTCTGGATCATAAGGGATCAATGTAAACAAAGAGGGGAGATGGCTGCTTACCATAGCATAGAACAGTGCAT